TTTTGTCACTATTATCCTCAATGTGTGACGAATTTTTTTTGACATTATTTCATTATTTTTAATGATGAATTTGTTTTTGTCTCTATTGGTAGCTTCTTTGACAAATTTTTTTTGTCTTCGTTTATATTAAACGTGACAAAATTATTTCATCTCTATTTCTTATATTTATGACAAAATACTTTCGTCTCTAATTTCATTCTTTAATGATAAAATATTTTGTCGCTAATTACTTACAAGTATGTTTCCAACAGAGTGTATTGGAGACAAAAAAATTCATCACAAATTTATCATTTTTAATAATGAATTTGTTTTTGTTTCTATTGGTAGTTTCTTTTGACAAAAATTTTTCGTCCTCGTTTATATTAAACGTGACAAAATTATTTCATCTCTATTTCTTATATTTATGACAAAATACTTTCGTCTCTAATTTCATTCTTTAATGATAAAATATTTTGTCGCTAATTACTTACAAGTATGTTTCCAACAGAGTGTATTGGAGACAAAAAAATTCATCACAAATTTATCATTTTTAATAATGAATTTGTTTTTGTTTCTATTGGTAGTTTCTTTTGACAAAAATTTTCCGTCCTCGTTTATATTAAACGTGACAAAATTATTTCATCTCTATTTCTTATATTTATGACAAAATACTTTCGTCTCTAATTTCATTCTTTAATGATAAAATATTTTGTCGCTAATTACTTACAAGTATGTTTCCAACAGAGTGTATTGGAGACAAAAAAATTCATCACAAATTTATCATTTTTAATTATGAATTTGTTTTTGTTTCTATTGGTAGTTTCTTTTGACAAAAATTTTCCGTCCTCGTTTATATTAAACGTGACAAAATTATTTCATCTCTATTTCTTATATTTATGACAAAATACTTTTGTCTCTAATTTCTTTCTTTAATGACAAAATATTTTGTCGCTAATTACTTACAAGTATGTTCCCAACAGAGTGTATTGGAGACAAAAAAATTCGTCACAAATTTATCATTTTCAATGACGAATTTGTTTTTTCGTCTCTAAGACCCTTTAACGACGACGCTTTGGCAACAAAATGAGTGACAAAAAATTTTCGTCGTAATTAGTTTGAGTGACGAAATATATACATTTTGGGACAAATTTGTTTCATCTTTAAATCCCAAATTTGTTGTAAACATTATTCATCAAACATCGAACATTAGCAACGTCAGGATTATTTATCAAACATCAAGGGGTTTCAACCCTTCCTCGTTCCAGTGAAACAGGTGCCTACTAAGAGTCCCTTGAGGCATGTATTCATAAACAAGTAGCCTCTCATTTCCATCCAAGCAGTAACCCAAGAGAGAAACCAAATGCCTATGTCGAACCTTGAAAAGCACTGCAATCTCATAATTGAGCTCATCCAAACCCTTGTCACTCACCACTCCAGACTCCATCCTCTTAACCGCAATCTTAGTCCCATCATTGAACTCTCCTTTGTAAACTTTTCCAAATCCTCCTCTTCCCAATATGTTCTCTTCGCTAAAATTGTTGGTCACAGTCTTCAAAACTTGAATGGAGATTACCATATTTCTGGCTTCAATAACATGAATATCACTAGGTCCACGACTGTCATGACTGTATGTTTCACCCGTTGTCCCACCAGTCAAACCCAAATCAGCAATGGTAATCTTAATAGCATCATGGTCTGAACCTGACTGATGAGGACAAACCACCATGGCATTTGGACTCTACACCATACAAGAATGCTTTTGTTTAGCCCTACAAATGCAGAACACACTAACCCCAAAAATGACACATGAAATGACGTCTAAAGGAAGAAGTGATCACCTTAATTGAAAAAGGACACATTAAAAACACCAAAAATGAAAGAAAATGCTTCAAGTGGTTCAGCATGAAATGACGTCATGATGCATTAATTTCACCTTCTTACCTTCCATTGGGGATAGTTGTATTCCCGACTTGATCTTTAGCAGTATCTTGTTGACCTTCTGCATCATATAAATAAAATGCTACATCACAAAGGAGGAATTGAAGTAAATAGAGCATTAAAATGTTAACAACATTAGATTTCGCATCTGTGAGTCTGTCCATTACAGAATGAAAATACACTTATTTAGATCATCTGTGAGTCTGTCCATTAGAGATTTCACATCTGTGAGTCTAATCCAGAAAATGAAAGGGTATTTTAGAAAATTTCGCATTAAAATGTTAACAGCATTAGATTTCTAACTTTGGTCCAAACTTCAATGATTAAATGCACATTTTCTTACTCCAAACTTTATACGTTTTTGGGCCTAAACACGGGGTAAAGTATAGTTAATCCTACTCTATAAACTGTCAAAAGCAAAATTTCCAATTTTCAGTTCTTCTGTCTCGGGCAAAAAAGGAAAAAAAACCGAATCTCTAATTTAACCTTGAGGTACTTAATAAACCAATATTCCAAGGGCTAGTATATGTAACTAATTACAAATTATTTAATTTGACAGTTCTTCTGGGTTCAGCATTCTAGTAGCTTCATTATCAAATATTTCAAACAAAAATAAATCATAAGTTAGATCATCTCCAAACCTTTAATCAAACCTATATCAATTTCAAATTTCAAATTTTCATAAAAATCACTCAAAACACCCTCTAATCCTTGACCCAAACTTATACCAAATTGAGTTTTACTCAAATTTTTACCCAAATCAAGGGAAGGGACACCCAAATGTTTACTCAAAATTTCCAAGGCTATTTTGTGGCTCTCAATCTACCACATTAGTGAAACTTTTACTCAACTTTACCATTCAAACAAACACTTAATGGGTGTGAAGCCCTGGACTAAAAAAGAAGATTAGAATAAGAGAAAGAGAAGCAGAAAAGTGATAATCAAACAACAGAGCAATTGAAGCAATGGGTACGGAACTGTTTGTCGTTGGTGTGTAT